GTACCATCTAGTTAATCACTTAAATATGACATTGGAAATTATGAAAGCGGACTCGAATGCGTTGATTTTTACATTCGTAGAACAGCGTTGTCACCTAGTAAATAGACGGTGGAAAGATTTATGTTTTTGGCTATTCTTTTATGAAATAGAATACGCTTAATCTGGATTTGAACGAGGTTTCTTTAAGCCACAAACCAACCCATTTGATATAATGTTATAGTAAAAAACCGTAGAACGCATTTATCACTTGATCATGGATTGTAGAGATGACAACGGTAATTTCATAGGCAAACTGACTCAGCGTTCTCATTTTATTCGTTGTAGATGTCGCGCCTTAGTAGTAGAACTCTCACAGTCGTTCTACTTACAATTCTAGTGATTTCAGCCACCATATATTATTATAATAGAGTTACGTATTACACTCGAGTGTATGAGCTTCCACCTTCTCTCCACCATTACATTGTACGGCCAGAGGAAGGGCCAAAGTTAAACTACCTTCTGGACCTTGATTCCATTTCTTGGCCAAATGTAAAGCGACCAAACAATAGTAACAATCTAATGGTTGCGAATTTGGCACCTTTTGACGTGAAAATGAGTCCCGGCCAATACGCCACCATGGAAAAACTCATCAGCCAATTCGAACAAGTTATGGTTTCTTTGAAACTACAAGATCAGTGGTTTCTTGGTGCTGGATCCCTGCTTGGCTCGCTTCAACATCATGACTACATTCCCTGGGACGATGATGCTGATGTGGGTGTCCATCTTCGCCATCGGCCACGAATTCAAAGAGCTCTAAGTAATCTCCAGCCTAAATTTGGGACGTATTGGCAACGTAGTCGAGACAAGCTCTTTTTTAAGCCACTAGACAAAAATGCCAAAACTGACCTTAACACCATCGGCAGCCATGCTTTTTCCAATGCACCATGGGCTTGGCCATTCATTGACATCTTTTACTACAGGGAAATTGATGCAGTAAAAGGAGAAGAGTTCCTTCAAGACTTCCACAAATTCAACCTTAGTGACATCTTTCCTCTCACCTACAGACCCTTTGGTAAGCATTGGTATCCGGCACCACGAAGACCTATCAGTTTTCTCAGGAGCTACTATTCATCGAAAGGACAGCATTGCTTTAGTTCTTATTCCCACGCCCTCGAGAAGGCCCTCCTTCCCAAATACATGGACTGCAGAAAACTAATGGAGCGATACGCCTTTGTTCACCGCTGTCCCATTCCTGAGCAGGAGAGGGACGACAAACCTCTGGGACTCTGTGATGAGCATTTGGTAGATGGTAGCGGACGGAGTGTGCACAAGATACGAACAGCACTTGATCCAGATGAAATCGATGCACCATTGTACACAGTCAGACATGAATCATTCAAATGTCCATAACAACTATCCTGTGAAACCGTTTGCTGGAACAGAAGTAACTTGACTTTATTGCTACGTTTAAATTCCAGTAGGCTTTATTCGTTCATTTTGGGAAAAGGTGCTTGCCCTCCCTTACCGGGGTAGGCTCTATCGACATCACTTTATGTTGAATTAGATTGATACCGAATCTATCTGAATAAGCAGGGACGGATGTAACTGTGTTTGTTACAACCTTTACACACAGGAAAGCGGACCTAACGCCTCTACAGTAGGTTGGATTACTAAATCTAAACTGCGGAAACCGACGACACTCAATGGCACTAGCATTTTGGATGCGTGATTTGTGCGCTTCAGGTGGTGCCGGTTCTCTCCACAAATTCACCACAAAAATATAGCGCACCGTTGCTATCTTTTAATCAAAATTCGATTCCTTCCTAGTAAAGTAATTGCAAGACTATGTATTGAAAGTGGGTGTGTGTAAGCTGAGAGTTTGCTAGCCTTAATATTATGTTGTTGTGGAATAATTTGAATAGCAAACTAGATCATTTCTCAAACCCTCATGGAATGATATTGTGAGATGAATGGACTCCTTTTAGTCTTAACCAAAACAAGTGCTAGCTATGATCCAGTCATGAGTTACTCAATTGATTTGATCTAGTTTGACGATGCACTGCCTTGAAAGACGGGTGTCCAGTAAGGGTCTTTATTCAGGCATGAAAGCTGTGATAATTGCAATTCGAACTCATGTTCTGACCATTCTAGTGCGTATATGCCAGTCCACTTTTTAAAATCGGTTCGGTAGGAGTACTTCCAGCTTTAATGACCTGAGCATATTAATGACAAAACAACCTTTGTCATTATTATGCACACTCGCAGGCCCTATTCACCAAACACCAAGTGAAGTTTGGCCAACTGTGACGAGACCTCGAAATAAAAGCACAGTTTGGTTAAAATGGGATATTCAGACCCTCGTCTGGCATCGCCAGGTAGGGGTTAATTTAAATCAGAGGGAGCACAAATATTTGCGTACAAGTCTTGTTTGTCCTACAACCAAATCATTTGCAGCAGTACTACGAATTGCTGATAATAAGGGGAAAGTCTTGATGCAATAAGCAAATCCCAAAAA